TCAATTGGAAACCCATGGTTGGTAAAGTGGAAAAGTTTGGACAACCTGTTTTGATAAAAAAACTCTAAAAAAGAAAGAAGAAAAGAATGAGAAGAAAATGTTTCAGCTGAGAAAGAGAGAGAACAGAGATAGAAGAGAATGGGAGAAGCTCATAATTAGGTCTGGCCGCCCCTTTTCATTAGATTATATACTCATAAATAAAAGAGAGTACAAAGACAAGTATGCCCTTAGTAAGTCGGCTACTTGTGAGAACTTAAAAACACTGTTAACTTAAAACATAAACTAATGGGCCTAAAGCCCAATAACTCCCTAACTATGCTATGTAAATAAAAAACATGTTATATCAGCCCAAAACTCAACACTCCCCCTCAAGTTGGGAATAAATGTCACACATTCCCAACTTGCATAGATCATGCTCTAGCTTGTTTCTTGCAACTCCTTTTGTAAGAACATCAACAAGCTGCAAGTCAGATGCATTATATGGCAAGCAAACTTCTCCGGATGTCACCCGTTCCCTTATAGTGTCTATCCACTTCTATATGCTTCATCCTATCATGCTGAACTAGGTTGTGGGTAATGTTAATTGTTGCCTGATTGTCACAGAATAGTGTCATAGGTTCTTCGGCCTCAACTCCAATCTCCCCTAACAAGGAACGAATCCAAAGGAGCTTTGAAACGCCATGTGCCACGGCTCTGTATTCAGCTTCTGCACTTGACCTTGCCAAAACTGTCTGTTTCTTACTCTTCCATGAAACTAAATTACCTCCAACAAGAGTACAAACTCTTGATGTAGATCTCCTGTCATCTAGACATCCTGCCTAATCAGCATCTGTGTAAGCCTCTAATTTCAACTGTCCATTGTCAGCAAACAATAGGAGTATCCTGTCAATAGCCTCCCAATGCTGAACTCGTGGGGCATACATGTATTGACTTGCCACATTCACTGCATAAGAGATGTCTGGTCGTGTCATACATAAGTATAGCAACCGCCCCACTAACCTCTGATATTTTGAAACATCCTTCACTAGTTCACCCTCGGAAGCATTTATCCTATGGTTTTGATCAATAGGTGTATCAGCTGCCCTTGCCCCAAGTTTTCCTGTCTCCTGTAGTAGATCTAGAACATACTTCCTCTATGAGATGAAGATCCCATGCTTGGACCTTGCCACTTCAATGCCCAGAAAGTACTTCAGCTCCCCAAGATCCTTAATCTCAAACTCTTTGTGCAGATTCTTCTTCAAGGTATCAATCTCACTCAAATCATTTCCTGTGACTACAATGTCATCCACATACACTATCAAAACTGACACCAGTGACGCCCTCCTCTTCACAAAAGAGTATGATCAGATTGAGTTTGAGTATAGCTAAATACAACCAATGCACTTCTAAACCTGTCAAACCAAGCTCTGGGTGATTGCTTTAAACCATATAGAGATTTCTTCAACCTGCATACCTTTCCCTTTTTGACATTATTGTAGAAGTCAGCTAGAAGGTCCATATACACCTCTTCCTGCAAGTCCCCATTGAGAAAGGCATTCTTCACATCAAGTTGGAAGAGTGGCCAAGAGTATGTAGCTACTAGTGATAGAAGAGTCTGAACTGAACTCATCTTTGCCACTGGTGCAAAGGTTTCCAAGTAATCTATGCCATAAGTCTGAGTATTACCCTTTTGCAACTAGCCTCACTTTGTACCTTTCTATACTCCCATCAACCTTGTACTTCACTGTATAAACCCATTTGCATCCAACTGTCTCCTTGCCATCAAGCAAATCCACAATCTCCCATGTTTGATTTTTAATCAATGCTTTCATTTACTCCTACATAGTTGTCTTCCACTCAAGTTTGGAGAGAGCCTCACTAACAAACACTCTTGGGTATAGACACTGAGTCAAGGGAGGAAAGGAAGGCCCTGTAGGAAGGGGATAATCCACTGTATGAAAGATTGTGTGAGATGCAATGAGTAGTACACTTCCTCTTCCCTTTTCTGAGGGTAATAGGGAGATCAAGGTCATCTGCATTGGTGTTAGGAGCAGGGGTAGTAGTATCAATAGGAACTAAACCATCAGGGGGAACAAGAGGCATACCTAGGTCTGTGTCAATCGAACCTGGAATCTCCGATGAGCCGATAGGGAGTGATGTGGGTTCATCTACTATGGAATCAACCTCCCTGTGCTGTCATAGGCGTTGTCATGTAAAACACTAAGAGACAGGACGCAATGGAGGTGGCAAAGTGGGTGAGATAGGTAGGTCAGACACTGGAGTAGACAAAGGAGCTGGAATAGGAAGTGGTATAGATTGCTCACTTCCTTCTCTAAAACACTCCCCCTGAAAAGAACCCTCTAAGAAAAAAGGTGTGGACTCAAAAAAGGTGACATCCATAGTAACATACCGACTCCTGGAACTGTAGAGCTCAACATCATGCTTCTTGCTACTTCCACAATATGTCTGTTCTTCCTTTCTGCTACACCATTCTGTTGTGGAGTGTATGTACAACTGCTCTGATGGATAACTGCATGTTCCAATAGGTATGATGCCAGGTTTTTTTCAAAGTATTCCTTGGCATTGTTTGATGGAGTTGTTGAACCAAAGACGGTACCTCATCACGGGATCTCATCAAATATATCCAAGTTGACAATATCAAAAGCAGAACATCTTTTATTACTTGCTTTAAAAGGAATGTCTACAATGCTTTCCAAGTTGACAGCCCTCACACTCCAAACTGGACAAACTAACACACTTAAACAATTTGGGAAACAAAAAATGCAAAGAAGTAAAAGACAAATGTCCTAACTGATTATGCCAAAGCATAATCTGACCCACTGACTTTGACTCAGTATTCTTGCTGATATGATGAAGAGAATGGGAGAAGCTTAGAATTAGGTCTGGCCGCCCCTTTCATTAGATTATATACTCATAAATAGAGTACAAAGACAAGTATGCCCTTAGTAAGTCGGCTACTTGTGAGAACTTAAAAATACTCTTAACTTAAAACATAAACTAATGGGCCTAAGGCCCAATAACTCCCTAACTATGGTATGTAAATAAAAAACATGTTATATCAGCCCAAAACTTAACAGGCAGGAATACGAGGGGTAATCAGAAATGCTAAAAGGAGGATTTTTGCCTTATTTTCAGAGCCAATTTGTATAGGAAATTCCTTGAAGGCTGAACTGTTGGCAGTACTACAGTCCCCGGTTAGCAAAGCAGCTGGGTTAAGGTGGAAGGGGACTCAAAAGTAGTCATTCTCTTGGGTAAACTGCAACAGACATACTCCCTGGACTCTCAAACATGTGATAAGGGAAATAGAGTAGATTGCTATGGATATAGAGGCTGGGATTTAAATGGTTTAAAAGAAGGGCAACTGGATTACCTGATTCCCCAATCAAGGGATTATGAGGCAGCAACTGTTTTGGGCTTCTATGTAATTGGGGTTTGAAAATTGGGAATGACTTTCCTGTCATCAAGCTGTATTAATTAACTTTCCAATTGAATCTAATAAATAAACATATTTTCTTCTGATCAAAAAATAAACATCAAATTGATGGTTCCTCCATCATCTGCCCATTTGAAGACAGTCCAATGATCTGGATCGTAGTTGGTATGTTACGTGACAGTGTAGAAATATATTTTGGTGCATTGCATACTAGGAAAGATGGATATACACCATCAAATACACATTAATCCTACCTCCAAAACAAAGGTTCATTTTTTGGTTCTATTCTTCTAGAACCATTAGATCCATTAGATCTACATCTAGATGTTAATCTGTGTAATAATGAGCCAATCATCAGAAAACATTTATTTTAAATTTGACCATTGGATGAGAAATCAGTATAGTAGGGTGATGTCACATTGAATATAGACATTTCATTTAGGCTAAGTTTAGGAGTGCTTAAAAATAAGTGCTTATTCAATAATAAGCACTTATTTTGGGCCAGGACCACACCAATAATAAGCACTTATTTGCATTTGAGAAATAAGCACGGAATAAGAGCTTATTCTGATTTCTGAGAATAAGCATTTATTTGAGAAGCCCAAATTTTGGGCTTATTTTAAGTGCTTTTTTCCTTTCTGGTCTATCTTGGCCCGCCATGTCATTTAAGTGCTTTTTCACCAAACGCTCATAAATGCTTATTAAAATAAACACTTGTTTTTAAGCACTTATTCAATAAGCATTTATATTTCAAACTTGGCCTTAATTGTTTCCGGTAGCAATGTCAATAACACAACACTGCTCAAAACACTTGTTGAACATCTAATCAGCATAAGTATCAACCAAACAAGTTTCATATCAAAACACTTATGTTGGCATTTTCACATGAAATGCCATTGCCTCTCTAAACGTTTAAACCTGAAATGGCAATGGTACCAAACACAAGCTCAATGGTCAAGTGTTTTGAAAGCAATGCATATCATGTAGGAGGATACTTAGAGTCAATAATTGTAACATATTCAAATAGATATTTGTAATAACTTATTTACAAGGATCAAAATTTCGCAATATATCAGCCAATATACTTATCGTATTGGCAGGCCACCAATACTACAAATAAGGGTCTTTTGGGGTTTTGACCAATTTCAGGGCGTAGGCAGGCTTAAGACCAACCCCCCTGTCCAATTTTGAAAAGAAAAGCTATAAAAAAATTATGGTCAGTTGAAACACTTGATACATAGGTTCGGCAAATATCTACCTTTCTCAAATTGGAATATCTGTTTTTAATACTTTTTTCTTACAGCTAGTTCTGTTCTTGATAATAAATAACCTTCTCAAACTTGACTGACTATTACAAAAGCTTGGTGAAGGAATTACAATTTCTTCAGTCTGGTTCTTCTATTTGATTTCATTATTTATTTCATAGAGAGAGACTTAAAAGTTTAATTAGTAGTAGACTCTGTACAAAGCTAACAAATGCTGTTTCATTCCCTCATCCAACACATTGATGATTCTTTGTCAAATATCTTTTAAGTCTCCCATTTATTTCTAATATTATATGCTTCAGGTTAAGAAAAACATTGAGGACAAAACATACCAACATGTAGATGCCCGCTCGAAGGCCAGGTAGTGAAGCCGTTTATTGAATCATCATTATACCAATTATCCATTTATGCTTTATCGAGATATCTGTCTCATCTTTCTTTGTTTAATATACTGACCATTTCTGTGAGAAATTGCACTTATGTGATATTATGTTTACTATCCCGGATTCCTGGTTAGTGTCAGTTTAATTTTCGACCACCACTATGCAACCTTCATTATTTAGTATAACAATTATTTATCAGTTGAAATTGTTTTATTAATGTTTATACTCATTAACTTAATCCTAAACTTGGAATCCTAGGAAACATAGTGAAATTATCTTTTACATCTTTCATGCCTGTAGAAAAGGAGTTCAGATTGATACCTAACCAGAAAATTCGTTCTCAGACATAGCTAGGAAAGGGTTAGTTGACATATTGGGGGTTCTTCGCTTGAGAGTAATACTTCTATGGGCTGGTTTCTGTACGTATTTTGTTTTTTTTTTATGGTGTTGGCTCCTTGTTTTCTAATCCATAGGTCTTTTTTTTTTCCCTTAATCACTATCACAAAATTCATTAATGATAAAAAATGAGTTTTTTCTACCAGTACTGAACATAAAAAGGAAACTCCATTATAGAACATAAAAAGGAAAGCACACTCCAAAACTGTAGGAGGAAGCTCCATTAGAGAACATAAAAACGAAAGCACACTCCAAAACCACAAACAGTTTCAAACCTTGCCATTCTAAATAACTCAATCCATCCAAGGGTGTGATAGATATTGGGAAACTACTATTTTTTTCTACCAGTACTGAAGATAGATGGTCTTCCAGAAACATATGAATCTTCAGTAGTCATCTTGCCTTAACACAAACGTTTCAATGGTTCCAACTAGTACAGGTTTTTTTTTTTTTTTTTTGATCAATAACAGCCTTGGAAGCATGAATCTACAAGCCACAAAAGATTTGTTGGAAGAAGAAAGTTTAAACACAGCTATTCTTTTCCTGGAAGAGGAAGCTTCTGCACCGGAAGGCTTTGGGAATGAGGAACGTAAGAGCGTAGATGTTGAGGTTGAACAATCAAGGATTATAACAGATTAACAGTCACTGTGTCACATAAGGGTAAGGCGAACCTAGCAGCAACTATAGAGGATGATCAAGGTACAACTATTCCGGCAACCAAATCCCTTCCAGAAATCAACTATTAAAGGCGTTCAGTCTGGAGGGGCAGGAACCATATCTGCAGGTTTATGAAGAGGCACACACACAGGATAACCTAGAAAAGGTTTCTTTGTACACAGGGGTTGACAAGGTGTTGATTGAACCAAGTACATCCACAACTGAATCTGCCAGAGGGAATGGTCCTTGTCCAGAATTCTATTACTGATGCCCCAACACAAGTCCTAGCCCATTCATCTCCTGCCAGGCCAGGTATGTTTGTCCATTCGGGTTTTGATACTAACTTGGGTTCAATGCCTGAAGTAGGTACCCTGGCATCCCAATTGGACAGAACAGCTGGAGGTGAGGGAGTGGAGGTGGAAGGGGTTGAATTTGAAATAAAGGAACTTCTTTATTGAGAAAAGGACAAGTGAAGCAACTAGAGAGCATCTGCGAGCAAATCTGTGCCTTGTTGGAAGAGTATAAGCAGAAAGAAGATCAAGAGTGCAGGAGAAGAACCATTTAATAAAAGCAGGAAGAAAATGAAAAGATCAAAAGTAGAAAGACTACTCTCAGACATTGAAGGGGATTTAGAATTCAGTGGAAGAGGGGAGAGGGAGAAGGCTCCTAAGTGAAGGACAAAGGGTGTTCGAAGGGTGTCATTCTACAACTATGTTGATGAAGATCATTAGCTGGAATGTGAGAAGTCTAGGAAGTGCGAGGTAGAGAAGGTTGATAAAGAATTTGTGGAGGGAAAAAGGCCTGACATTGTATTGATACAGGAAACCAAAGTAACAGATCTAGATAGAAGATGGGTAAGAAGTGTGTGGAAAGCAAGAGGTGTGAATTGGTGCTCAACTCCCTCTTGGGGAGCCTCTGGGGTATAGTTACTCTTTGGAGAGAGGATGTGGTAGAACCATTAGAGGAACTGATAAGTAGTTTTTCTGTCTCTTTAAAGTTCAGGATGGTGGAGGATGGTTTTACTTGGGTGTTAAACCCATGTGTATGGGCCAAAATAATTATAGAGAGAGAATGAATTGTGGGAAGAGCTTCATGGAATTCAAGGGTTATGGGAAGGTCCTTGGTGCTTGGGTGGAGACCTCAATGTAATAAGGTTCCTAAATGAGTCAAACAATCCCTAGCAGTCTATCACAACTAGCATGAGGAGGTTTAATGACTATCAATAATTGTGATCTAAAGGAATTCCCTTTTCTAAAGCCAACTTTACTTGGTCAAACTTCGAGGAGAACCTATCTTGCTCAAAATTAGATAAAGTTCCTTTTCAATGAAATCTGGGAAGCAAAATGGAGGGGTTTGCTGGCTAAAGCTTTGCTTAGAGTTACCGAGAAACTTTTGGGTTTGGACCTAGACCTTTTAGGTTTGAAAACATGTGACTAACACACCCGGACTTTGTGCCTAAGGTTTTCAGAACTGATGACAGCAGTCTATGGAGTAGAGAAAGCTAAAGAAATGGGGATTGATAGGCTGATTATTGAAGGTGATTCAAAAGTAGTTGTGGGTTGGCTGAAAAAGGGGGAAGGTGTCATATGGAAGTTAAGGAATGAGTTCAGGCACTTCAAGCAGATTCCTAAAGACATGATGATCCAAATCAGGCGGATTAGAACATCTACAAACAGTATGGCTGATGGTCTAGCAAAGCAAGGAATTCAGAGACAACCTATGTTCTGGGCAGTTATGTAAATAGTGAATGGTTTCTGTTTGGGCTTTTTGTTTTTGCCCACAACTCCTTATTGTATTTCTTATTTTTAAACTAATGAATCAATTTTTGTGTTGCTGATAAAAAAAAGGTTTAAATAAGTGATACCTTTAGTAGTCTCACCCTTTCGAGGCGCATTTGTGGAAAGTGGACTTAGAGAAAGCCTATGATCTAGTGAATTGGAGAATTCTTCTATAATTACTAGAGAGGCTTGGATTTGAAGCAAAATGGAGATTATGGATTAAAGGGTGTGTCATCTCTGTTCATTACTCAATTCTTATCAGTTGTGTAGTAAAAGACTTATTCCTGACTAGGCTAGGAATTAGACAAGGAGACCCCTTATCACTCTTCCTTTTCACCCTAGTGGCAGAGGGCCTAAGTAGAATGGCGGTGAAAGCAGATCATCTACAAGACCTTTTTAAGGGATGGAGAATTGTTAGAAATCAAGTGGTGGTCCCTCATCTCCAATTTGCTGACGACACAATTCTATTCTGTGAGGACATTAACCTACAATTGGTGAGAAACCTAAAGGATTTCGTTGATAACTTTGTGGGCCTGACTGGATTGAGGATTAATTGGAGTAAAAGCGGAATTGCGGCGATCAACCTAGAAGAGAGGGAGCTTTTGAGCTTTTCTGACTTATTGGGTTGTGAGGTTACAAACTGGCCTATTAGGCCCCATTTGGTATCAATTCTGGGGATTCTCATTCTCAGAATCCTTTCAAAAAAGAATGGATCCTGAGAATTTTCATTCAGATAATCACCAGTCTTGTTTGGCACAGTCATTTGATTCCTGTTTCTCAAAAACAGAATCACGTTTGGCAGCAATCAATTTCTTGAAATCAATTCTCTGACCGATTGAGTGCTTACATTTTATTCAAAGTGGGGAAGCTGTTCATTAAGCCTTGTAGCAACAACATAGCTAGTATACGCTCCTAAAGTTCACATGGATAAACACTCATTCCTTGACACAATAAATATATAAATAAAAATGTCACATGGCTGATTTTAGTGTTAATAATTTAAAACTGTGCAACCACTTCCAATAAAGAGCTTCCTTCCCATTCTTTTTATGGTGTACATAGAGGTAGGAAATGAGAATTATGTAGATTTGGTATAAAACTTAAATTAAGGTGATTAGATCCTTCACCACACAATAAGCCTACTGTGTGAAAAGAACTCTGATATGCTGAAAACTTACAGAAAGGTTACAATGGCACTAGAAAGAACAAGAAACCTGGAGAGAACTATAATCAAGCATTTTATGTTTACTTGATGGAAGATTATTCTGAGACAAAAGGATTAAGAATCTATTGAGAACCCCAGCAAGATCCCACTGCAACCCTCAACCAAAATTAACCAGTTCCTGACAAACCAGGATTACCAAACATCAGCTATGCAGTGGGGTACCACAATCACCAAATAAAAGATACAAGAGCATCCGGTACATAGGAAATGTAAGTCTCATTGCTGAGGCCAAATGTTGAATTCAAAAATAGTTAAAAAAGTGATTTCAATATTTAGGTCAATTCAGTCAATGGGCAAAGATCTAAGAAAATAATTAAGTACAAACAGGTGCAGCATGCTAAAATGAAGAATTATCAATCACATAACAAATCAGATAAAGAAGGGCACAAGGCTAAGAACAGTCTTCTATGACTCCGAAGTGTGGGCACATGGCTGGAAAGGTTCTGGTTTCAGTAAGTGAGCACGTCAATAGGCTCGTTGCAGCCAGATTGCAGTTTGATATCATGGGGGTCGAAACCGTGTTGGTGGCTCATACTGATGCTGTTGCTGCTAATTTGATTCAGACCAATGTTGATACCTGAGACCATCAGTTCATATTGGAAGCAACTAACCCCAATTTTAAAGGTAAGAGCATAGCCACGATTCTTGGTGAAGCTATGTCTGTCGGAAAGACTGGACCTGATGAGGACAATTGGTTATTGATGGCCCGATTGAAGACCTTCTCTGAATGCATAGTGGACGAGATTAAGAACTTGAACAATGGGGAAAAAGAGAAACAGAGGAGATTGCTGCAATCCAAAACAATGAAAAGAAAAAACAAAACGCATTGCTGCAAGCCATGCACCTGTGTAGATGGGAGAACAGATAGAGCCGTTGGAGTCCTTGGGAAGGAGAAAGACGTTGGAGAGGGTTTCCAACATTT